GCGTTGCGTTTCAGTTTGGACGGCTTGGCGTTCCGTGTTGTAGCGTATCGTGCGAGCTCTCTGCGCCGAGGGCGGCAGCACCTCACGTCCGAGATAAGAGTGGCAGTACCTCATCTCGGCTGCAGAATATACGCTTGGCCATTGTGGTTCCAAGGTATAAAGGGACTGACTGCCTGACTTCGGCTCGAGTGCAGCAGAAACGACATCCCGATACCGCAATCCCACGCTTCGAGAAGCGATTGTGTACGACCATCGATTCACTGATTCGTGACACGCTGCAGTTACCATACAGGAGAGGCGAGCCAGATCCTGTACCAATCAACATCGCCATCTAACACCTAGACGAAGTTGCAAGGGAGATCTGGGCTGAGGGTACTGTCTTGGATTGTCTTTCAGATCAGGTCCAATGGAGGAGTCCACACAACCTTCGACATATATGACTCCAACCACATATATACACCCATCGAGGGCCAATCATAAGATAGTGAGATCGAAAGATAGATCCGCCGGCCCCCTATTGGGGCTACCAGGCTGTAGGGTTAGGTTGCTGCTCCCTGCACCAGTTCCAGTCTCCAGTACCCTGCACCAGCTCCAGTTTCAAGTTTCCAATGTTACAATCTTGATTTCTGTTTGCGACTGCAAACTGTTACTGCCCGCGCGAGGGGAAGCCGAAAACTACCCTGGCTACCCTCCCCCATGAGGGTTCTCAGAATTTGTTTGGGGGGTCCTGGGCTACGTAAAAATACTTGAGACCCGCGCCTCCGAGGCCACGATCCTTTACAAATTACAACACATTCGCGCCCCCGGGGCCACGATCCTTTGTAAATTACACAGTAGTTGCGTCCCCGAGGCCATAAGCCCATGTAAATTGCACAATGCATAAAGCCTTATACATTACGCAATGCTCACGTCCCCCAGGACATGCACATTAGTAAATGTTAAACGATTCGCGTCCCTGGGGCCATATACCGTCGTCACTTACGCAATAATTGCGCCCCCCGAGGCCATAAGCCTTCGCGAAGTACACAATAGTTTTGCCCCCGAGGCCACAAGCCCTCTCAAAAATTCTACTATATTCGAGTCCCCGAGGCCATAAACCGATTTTGAAAACTATCCGATACTTGCGTCCCCGATGCCATAAACCTTCGCAAATTACGCGATGCTCGCGCCCCCGAAACTTTCAACCCTCGAAAAATTACACTCGATTCGCGTCCCCGAGGCCATGAACCCTTGTAAATTGCACCATGTTCGCGATCCCGAGGCCATAAGCCTTTTGCAACTTCCACAAGGCTCGCGCCCCGAGGCCAGGATTCCTTGCAAATTTCGGCGCGCTCGCGACCCCGAGGCCTCAGTCCCTCACAGCAGGCGCCGAGGAGCCCCAAGACCGCCCCAGCCGCGCGACTTCGCCCAATCTAGCCTCAATCAGCCCCCAGTCTTTCCAAGAGGGCCTCCAATGCACAGCATGCGGGGGCAAGTCCAATATGCACCGGATTCAACAGTATCATCTGAATACACATCTTTCTTGCCGATGACTCGTCGTCCTCGCATGAGGTTCCGACACTGCTTCGAGACGGCGCCCAGACCTCACACGGAGATCTTGCATGCCCCAGTATCCGAGAAAGGGCTTACGGTTATCGAAATCGCTACATCGATAGATATGCAGATAGATACATAGATATATTTATATTTATATATAGGTCGATTGATAAGATATAGATGTATTGGTACATCGATGTAAATATATATATATATATAAGTAAATGGATATACACATAGATAGATAGGTCGCGAGCCGAAAGCTGCACCCATCCCCCAAAACACACCCCTTGTCGCCCGAAGGATGGTCATGCGGGCAAGCTCCATTCACAAGAAGCCGTCTCGTGCTCTCCCCCGCCGAAGAGTCGCTCCTTCCTGGTACCCGCCTTCCCTCCCCTCCCGCGTCGCCAGCTCTCCTGCAACCGTCTCCGCGACGTGCGGGGGGAGCGTCATCGGGCGATGCGTGCTCTCGCCCTCGGGCACCTGCCAGGTCTTGGGCGCTTGCTTTAGGTCGGGCATGTCCCCCCACAGGCCGTTGTTGGGATGAAAGGTCAAAAATGCCCCAAAAGGTTCAAAACCAGATTCACTAAATACTCCGAAAATCGTCCCTGGACTATTTTTCCCTACATCCTAAGTGGGGTTCTTCTTTTCTCTGGACACCCCGCGCAGTCCTCCCTCACCCCTCTCTCCCTCGTCATCACTCACCCTCACTCGCTCCTTCACTCACTCATCGGCATCATCACCTTCATCAATCACACACTCACTGACACTCACACTCACTCAATCACACACAAACACATTCACTTCTCATCGTCACCATTATCATCATCTCTCACTCACTCATCCACTCACTCACCGTCATCATTGACTCAGTCATCATTTTGTCATCACTCACCCCCTGGCATGACAATGGAGGATGTATCAGGCGGGAGCCTCTTCTGTGAGTGAATTGCGAGGAAGTATCAGGCGGGAGCCTCCTCCTTATTGGGTCCGCATTTAATTTTCGACGATGCGGGTCATCGGCATCCTGTAACTGTCGTCACTTGGGCTCCTCAGGCCTGAAGATGGAGAAAGTATCAGGCGGGAGCCTCGTCTGTGAGTGAGTTATGAGGAAGACTCAGGCGGGAGCTCCCTCCCAAAGGGGCCCGCACTTCATGTTCGAATCCGAGGCGGGTCATCGGCATCCTGTACCTGTCGTCACTCTTGCGCTCCTCAGGCCTGAATATGGAGGACGTATCAGGCGGGAGCCTCGTCTGTGAGCGAATTGCGAGGAAGTATCAGGCGGGAGCCCCCTCCCTAAGGGGACCGCACTTCATGTTCGAATCCGAGGCGGGTCATCGGCATCCTGTAACGGTCGTCACTTTTGGGCTCCTCAAGCTTGACCTTGGAGGAAGTATCAGGCGGGAGCCTCGTCTGTGAGTGACTTGTGAGGGCGTCTCAGACAGTAGCTCCCTCCCGCAGGGGCCCGCATTTCATCTTTGAATCCGAGGCCGGTCATCGGCATCCTGTAACTGTCTTCGCTGTTGGCTTCTCAGGCCTGAATATGCAAGCGGGAGCTCCCTCCCAAAGTGGCCCGCACTTCATGTTCGAATCCGAGGCGGGTCATCAGCATCCTGTAACTGTCTTCATTTTTGCGCTCCTCAGGCCTGAGTATGGAGGAAGTATTACGCGGGAGCCTCGTCTGTGAGTGATTTGTCAAGAAGTCTCAAACGGGAGCCCCTTCCCTAAGGGGACCGCCGTTCATGTTCGAATCCGAGGCGGGTCATCGACATCCCGTAACTGTCGTCATTTTTGCGCCCCTCAGGCCTGAATATGGAGAAAGTATCAGGCGGGAGCCTCGTCTGTGAGTGAATTGTGGGGAAGACTCAAGCGGGAGCTCCCTCCCAAAGGGGCCCGCACTTCATGTTCGAATCCGAGGCGAGTCATCAGCATCCTGTAAC